AACTTCCAAAAAACCACATTATATTTATATACTTACCTCTCCTCTCCTCGTTCGTTGGGCTTCTGGTAATGCAGCCTCCTGTTCATTTCGCTTTCCATTTCCACGCGGTCGTTGTCACCACGACGATTTCTCACAACTCAAGTGCATAGAGCTGAATATCAAGCGTCCACGCTCGTCACGCACATGCTACAACCCGACCTTTTGCATCAAAAGCTTTTGTTTATGACCCGAGGAGATTTATAGGCACTGCCGAGTCGTTGTATACTGTGCAGTATAAGCGTACCAGAGGCGGTTTATCCGTACACTGGCATCTATAACCACCCACTGAATTGTTGGAACATAATGAATTTTCCATTTTTCTTCTTCATCTTTTGAGATCTTTATGTGGATGGAATGTTGAGTTTTAGCGTGAGGTGATAACACATGAGGGAGTTATTTTTATCCAACATCTTTCGACGTAATAAAATATCAATTTATTGATTTCCTCTTTTTCATACTTTTCTCTAGTTTTTTACAACCCTTGAGTGTTTTGGTATATTGTTATGGTGAGAATTAACAAATGGAGTAGAAAATATCCCACACTCTCCTTACGAGTTGATTTGCTTGTAAACGGAAAAAGTTATAAATGAAATTTGTCTTTGAAAACACTTTTTTCAGAAAAATATAAATATAATAATTTATTTCTGACATTCACCAAGAAGAATTACGACAATAAAAATTAAGATTAGTATCAAGTGCGGAAAACGCCACGGGATAGAATAATTAATTGTAAACTTTTCCCTGACCCTCAATAATTGTGCAGGGTATTGGCTCCAGAGGCATTTTAATTCAGACATTGCAATAAACATTAACTTTAAATTTACTTCGACGTGTTGTAATTGCGTAGGACAGTGGCAATTCAGGAATGCTTGCAAAAAGTGAAATAAAAATTCCATACGTTGAGTAAAAGTTGTGCGAAAAATATACTCATTTTTTACAGTCTTTTGTCATTTTTATTACAATTTTCGTAGAAACTCCTGTATTGCTATTATAGTATACCATATACGATTACAAAACATCAGAGTAAAAATTATGAAACGTTCAGTAAAAAATCGGAAAAATTTACTGGACGTTTCTCGATTGTTCTCCGTAATATTCTTAAAAGATATTTTTACATGTGAATTATTTTTTTCGAAACTGGAATGTCTCCTTGATATAAATGGAACATCTCAACAAGAAAAAACTTTGAAAGGCAGAAATAATCAAAAATTTTAAATTAAAGATTCAAAACGATTTTTTGTGGATAACTGAAAAATCCGTGCTGCGAGCAAATAAAAAACTGGAAATTTTCATTTGATTTCACGCCCATCTCATTATAATAAACAACTAAACTGTCTTTAATATCGGTGGATCTTAATGGCCTCTTGAATTGGGCGTTGTTCTCAGCATTCCTAAAGTACGGACTCGACTAGCCATTACTACTTTGGAAGGAAGAAGATTAAGATAATCCAAAGGTAAAAATCATCAGATCTCTTCATCAATAAAATGCAAAAAAAATCACCCACTACAATCTATTTTCCCTCCCCTTCATCCCTTGCTGATAAACATTCAACAATTTTTCGCTCATAATCATAAAGTTGCAATCTTTCTTCTTCGTTTGTTTTTTTCACGACGCCAACGACATATGAACAGATCTTCGTGGCTCCTTCCACTCATTCACTCATTGAAAATTGACTGCCCCCTCCCTGTGGCATTCTCCCCCATCTTAGAGTCCTTCTCACCAACTCGAATCTCCACTTTTCCTTCTTCGTTGGACTTTACTCGAGTTAAGTTGATCAGTGTGGCCATCTCACTTCAACAACTGGCTTTCAACCATCGGATTGTCCCCACTCCTTGAATTTTCAACGAATGGCAGAAGTGTGGTGGGGATGCTGAGGTTTACCCACGGGCGTGGCTCTTCATAGTCCTCGTGTATTCCACTCAGTACACGCCCATTTGAGTTTCACCTTTTCTCCCCCTCATTCCAACCAGTGCAGCTTTGCCTTTTTACCATTTGATCGTCAAATGTTTTTCGCCACGGATTATGACGCGGTCTGCGCGATTATGACCACCGGTATCCTACGCTCCCTCACCGCTAAATCTATATACGTGTCGTGTGTACACCAGGCATACATATGTACATATATATAAGACACTTTTTCCGGCTAATATGTATGCTGGGATTTGTCGTTTTATGTTTCTTTTTAAGAGAGTGGGGTTTGTTTTTCCAGGGTTCTTGACTGTGATGGGTTGAGTCAGCTCTATGAAACTATATGGGGATTAGGTTTACGCAGCTTTCTGTATTTTCGTGTGCTATGTCATTATTTTTTTTACAAACTTTAGTCGCTGAGTTTTTATCTCCTTTCGTTTGGTATTTCTACCTCGTGGACAATTTCGCGCAGATTTACGCATAAAGCGGAATTCAACAAATTTAGCATGATTTTTTTTTTAACATACAGTAAATCTCACTACTCACCTCATATTAATATTTCAAGGAGAGAACAATTGGAATTCTTTAAGAATAATGCGTTGTATAGTGATCGAAATCCATTTATTATTCATGTTTTTCATGCAACTTTTAATATGCTTCTGCATTATTGCACTGAGAAAAAAAATTATTTTTGCCAAGAATATTCTCTTCCCACAAGTAAATCTGGCGATCACTGTATAAATACTCCCATAAGACTTACTAATGCCAAATATATTTTCTTGTGGTTAATAAATATTCTCGACTAAAGAAAATTTTTTTCTCAGTGTACGGCGTTGTGATACAGTCGATGAAACAATATGTGCATTTAATAATTCAAAAACAATTTCCACAGCGATTACGCCGAGGCAAAAATCCTAAGAGTGTCCTTAATATTTACAGAATAATACAATTACATACAATTTACGATGCACCTTAAGCCTGCGCTTCTGTCCTATAAAAATTTCAACACCTTTGCCGACGATCCCAATAGTTTAATACCTGCCAGTTAATTAATACAAATGCCCCCAGCAATTCGGTAGTTTACTCAGAGCCACTTAGTATATTCAATGAGCGTTCGACCCCCAACATCATTTACCCGTAATTAAAGTTGAACTCGTCCCCTTTTTCCTCAGAGGTGCAGAAATTGATCGAGCTAATTCTAGGTCTTTTTCTTCAAAATGATTATCGCATGAACACATAACAAAATATTTCCCCATCACGCACACACATATCAACACGCACACACACACATATACGAATACTTTATACCCTTTCGACCATAAACTAACACATATACTATGAAAATAGCTCGCACGGACGCTCTGGGCGTCGCTGTGACACTCTGCGCGCGAAGGATGACGATGTTGAAGAAGCCTTGCGCGATATCAGAGGTTATTTGTGCTTGTGTGTGCCTGTGCACAACGACACATGCATTCGTCAAAGTAGTGGAAGTAGGGATGACTTGGAAGGGTGGATCTTGCGAGTTGTCTAAGAGGAAATATAGTGGGAGAATGATGAAAAGTGGGGGCGATTGAGGCGGGGCTTAGTCAATCGTGTTGTCTCCCCTATCACGCTATTCCCGACTGAGATCAACGCGCCGTGTCAATGCGCGTTGATTTTTCACGCCAATACTATTTATTCTACATGCTTTTATTTTTCCTCTTCGTACTCATCCTCCCGAGATTTATGACAATAGGATATATTATTATATTGATAAAAATTGTAACAGTCATCTCATTGCGCAGAACTATTTACTAATTGTCATTCGCTGCTCGGATTAGTTCTAGGATGACTGGATACTCGAGTCATTGATTAATCACGAATCGTAATTAACGTAGAAACAGTGGCAGTGTGAATTTCAGTAGCAGTTTTGAATAATAAAGTCCAGTGATAATGGAGTCACGTTATCGGCGGAATATTGGTGGACAGATACTTGTAAACTGTAGAAAGTAGGGATGACTCTGGTGTTAATGGGCGTACTCGTGGTTAACACCCTTAATACCAATGGAGTGGGTATCAGCAGTGGGGATAACATCGGGATTAATCGTGTATTTTCGGTCCACGAGTCGTGATCCCCTCTCAATACATATAAAAAAATCTCCATCAAGCGCAACCCATTGACGAGAGGAAGATGGTGAAAAGTGTGGTGGGATGAGTGAGTGGTGATGTTCAGAGAGAGGGGTAAAGGTAGCGTTGGAAAAGGCGTCGCGTTCAACGCCACCAGGATTGGTGGTGGAACGCCAATCGGGGCGTCGAGCCCTCATTATCGCCCAAGCTACGGACAGTAGGAGAGGTCCAAGTCGTTCACATTCGGCCTCCCTTGGTGTATATGTGTTGATAGGTAGTGGGGATAAGTTGAGAGACAGAAAGAGCTTTCCCCCGCCCTTTCCCCCCTTCACGCCCCACTATATGATGTCGACGGTGTCAGCAGCGCCGACTTTAGGTAGCAAGGAGAGGTAAGTGAGCGATAGGGGAAGGGAGGAGGAGCTCTGGCTAAAGTTTCTATCGCAGTCTTTACGTTGCTGGCCCCTAGCATTCACGCCTACAACGTTTTCGTGCGCCCGCTCAGTTTTCTGTAGTACTACTCTCCACCCCTACTCCTCCCCCCTCTTCCCTTTCCTCCTGTCAGCTCCCTCTCCCTGCCCCCCCCC